ACTGCTCCTGGTTGTCCTCTGCACACTTTGAGTGCAAAACTTGCACAGTTTGGAGAGGATGTAGCCCCAAACAGATGTGCAACCATCCTGTGTTCAACCAGGTTTTGATCATGGTCCCCATCTGGCCACCAAAGAAACCGTAGTAGATCTGCATCCTCAACAGGTACCCGTATCTGATGAAACATGGCCTCAATGTCAGCCATGAGTACTACAGGCTCCTTTCTGAACCGGGTCATGACTCCTACCAATGTGCTAGTAAGGTCTGGTCCTTGCAGGAGTTGTGCATTTAAAGAGGTTCCTTGAAAGGTTGCAGCACAGTCAAACACAACCCGAATCTTTTTCTTTGTTGGATGGTATACACCATGGTGTGGTATATACCATACACGACCATCCCTGCGTTCCAGATCCTCATTTGGCACTTCCTCTGCATATCCCTTAGAGATTATTTCATTCGTAAAAGCAGTGTAATCACCATGAAATGCAGCATCCTTTGAAAACCTCTTCTTGAGGCTCAGAGCTCGTTGTTCTGCCACTCTCTTGTTATTGGGCATTTTCACATCTTTTTTCTTTAAAGGTAACCCAATACTGTAGTGTCCATCCACCAACTTTGCAGAGGCAGTGACATGCGCCATAAAATTCTCATCCTCTCTTGAGAATCCAACCTGCTCATCCTGACTGCATTCAGGAAAATAAAACTTTAAATGCTGCTTCCACAGATCATCCAGTTTTGCAACAGAGATCCTGTTAACCATGACATCCTGCGGTCCGTGAGAAGTGTCACTGATTTCAACTCCTCTAAGAGGCCTATTCACAGTCCAGCCCAACATAGTTTTGACTGCATATGGTCCTCCATCTACACTCCGAACAACTTGCCATGGCTCCAATGCCTTTGGAACATTTGTTCCGATTAGCAGGTCAATTCCTGAATCAACCGCTGTTATTTTAACATCTTTCAGATGTGGCCACATTTGGATATCTTCCTGACGAGGAATGTTACCTTGATGCACGGGCATGCTTTTCTGTGTGAAGATATCAGGCAGTTCACAAGAACAATCACTGTCCAATGCAGCTACTTCCATGTCTGAAACAATATGGCTTCCAACCACTTTCTCCTGACCCATGGTACGAAGAAGAATGCCTGTCCGTCTTCCTCTGACATTTAGTGAGTTCATTAGCTGTTCGGTACGAAACGATGCCGAGCTCCCAGGATCCAGGAAGGCGTAAATAATCAGTGTCTGATCCCCTTTTTTAGACTTGACACGAACTGGTACAATAGATAGCGTACAGTCCTGTACACCGGCCCCGGTAAGAGCACTAGACTGAACAGAGATCAGATCCATGCCTTGTTCTGTCCCAGTTTCTGTCGTGGCTTGCATTGAGTCACTGTTCTTCACCTTTTGATGAACATGAAGTATACTTGGATGCTTCAGGTTGCATACTTTGCATGTCAAACGCTTTCTGCAGTCTTTGCTCATGTGTCCAAAACACAAACAGCCAAAACACACTCCATGTTCCTTTAAGAAAGCAATTTTCTCACTGTGCACCCTTCTTTCCAATTGAAGGCACAGATCCAATGTGTGTTCACTCCCACAAAACAGGCAAAATATTGCACCGTTTATGAGTTTCTGCTTGATCCTGGGTCCAGCATCAACCTTCCTCTCCACTGTTGTAACTGTGGTTGCAAAGCTACTCCCTTTTGCCCTTGAACGAAGCGGAAGTTTTGGTTTCCGATTATCTTTGTTTAACACTGTTGGTGAGGTATCCTGTATGTCTCCAAACAATGGATCACTTGTCACATCTTCACCTGTCTTTCAATGAAGTTAACAATGTCATTAAATGTAGCTCTACGGCTACATCTTTCTTGCAATTCACAGGCCACAGTTCTCCATCTGTCTCTGTGTTTGTAAGGCAACTTTTTGATAATAGCCAGCATATTGGCAGGAATGTTTAATTAATCCATGTATTCCACCTCCTCCATGGCATTGCAGCATCCTCTCAAAAACAAGCTGTATTCCTGCAGAGCTTTCACATCCTCTGATTTTATTGAAGTCCATGAGAGAGCCTTTTCCATATAGGCAGAGGCTATCTTCTGTGCATTGCCAAAATGTTCTTGGAGCAAAGCTTTAGCTTTGGCATAACCTCTGTCATAAGACATATGCTGACAGCTTCTGACAAGTTCCCTAGGCTGCCCCCTGGTGTATTGCTCTAGGAAATACAAGCAATCTTTAGGGTTGCCAGTTTTCTCTTCCATGCTGGCCTCAAAAGCTCTTCTAAAAGTGTGGTATTGCAATGGGTCACCATCAAAAATCTGAATGTCCCTTCTAGGTAAAAATGAAAGAGACTGTTGCTGCACCAAGAGGGCAGTGATTTCATTTTGTTTCTCCAAAACAGTTATCATTTGACTCTGATCATTACTGATTGGTGTCTGTGCTGCAGGTTGACTCATTTGGTCTTGAGCCTGTGGTTGTGACTGACCCTCGGAGTGTCTTGACCATGTGTATTGAGGTTCTGAATCTGAAAAAATCATTTTCTCCTTGGGACGCGTGCCCTTACTTTATTGATGTGAATCAAGGCGGCCTCTTGTGGCAGGCATAAAAACTACTGCATCAGCATTGAGTGTTGCAACTTTCCTTTGCTCTCTTTCAGGATGAGAGTTCATACCATTGGAGTGCCATGATGCCATCTGGAATGCCATCTCCAGAGCCTCTTAACACATTTACTTTAGCCATTGATGCAGCTATTTCCGCTTCAAGTTCAAATTATTCCTTCTTTTTCCTTAGCTGTTCCTCTTGTTCTTCTAATCCATGCTTTGTCTTTAATAACCTTTGTCTTGCAAAAAGAGCAGCCATATCGGCCTCTGCTTTGATCCGTGCTGAAGATGTAGATGAAGTGTTAGAACCAGCAGAGCTCCGCTTAGAACCTCTGCTCCCTGCATTTGACACACTGTCACAGGGAGTTTTCCACATTTTGACCAGAAGGTTTTGAATTATGAGAATTGTTGCCATCCTGTTGTTTGTTTAATTCATTTGTTGCCAAATGCTCCTTATTCGGCACTTTCCTTCCAGTTTCAGAAATCCATTGTTTCGTATCCTCGATAAATCCAGTGTTGTATTTGAGTATACTTGAAAACCATTCCTGTTGTTTTTCCTGTTCCTCGGTTGGAAGTAAAGGCATCACAGACTCGTGTAACAGGGTTGTTTCCTCCGTTAGTTTCTTTAAATCCTGTAGCTGTGAGTGCACTCCTTTAACATTGTCATCCTTTTGCATGAGCTCTTTAATTGCTTTTATTGCACCTTTAATTTTGTGAACCTTTGTTTGACAATCTTTTTGGAGCTTTTCAACTTTATGGACCAAAGCCTTTGCGGTGAGTTTGACTTCTCTTTTCTGTTCATCCATTTTGAGTCATTGACAAGTTCACACCACATTAATCCGTGCGCTGCGCACCAAACACAGCTCAGCTGTGAGCTCACTCGGTTAAATTCCACAATTAATCCAGCCACTTCCGTCTCATAAACATCCGACAACAACCAACAACACACACAAACAACACGTCCCCAATGGACAAGCAGTAGTAACAAATCCAAAACTGTGTTCAAACAAAACAACTTACACAGCAAGAATTGACACAATGTTACATATCGCTTCCCTTGCTGTGTTGAGTGGCGTCAGAATTAATGGATGAGCATTCCTCCGAAAACAGCTGATTTCCACGTCATCAAAGCGTTCCAAAGGTTCTGGTCACATCCAATTCCGCAGATCAAAACTTTATTTAAAAGCTTTTCTGTTGACTAATATTGCAGCTATATCGGCCTTTTGCAGGTCGTCAAAAAAGTTTGCTACGAGGGACTAAACGCGGGAGTGAAGCTGTGACGCGCTGTCGCCATAAATGACTTCCAGATCCAAGATACTTTAGTCATTTATTCTTCCAAAACAAAACAAGATACTACAAACGCTGTTTTCGGATCATCAAATAAATTTGCGATCGCAGTGCAGTATAGTGTGGCGGTCAACAGAAATTGTCTCTTCCCACGCTCACCCCCTCTCTCCATCCAAGCCAAAAACCAGGTGAACAGGCGAGTGCGGCCCATATAATCACTGCCATCACCACAAGACCTCCGGTGAACACACCCACCACTAGCAACAAGCAGACCGCAAACAATAAACAAATCAGCAAACAACCCATGACACCAAACACACAATCAACTCACATTTATGGCTCCTACAACATTGGTTGACTCATGATCCTTTCTTTTGCATTGTTAACAGAAATTTCCAGCACACTGCTAACCCTGACAAAGTCTAGTAACTGCTCTGACAAATAATTAATAACCATATTTGTATATTTAAAAAAGTGTAGTTTTAAGACTTTAATTAAATATTTGGGTTGAATATAATTCGTTTTAACTGTGTTGTAAAAAAGTTAAATGTTAACTTACCTGTTTATAGGCATCTCAGGACGAGCAGGAAAGCCGTAAGGGATGATAGCAGCCGTAGATGCTAGCTATGCTGTCAAGTGGACCGCTAACGTCAAACTGAATGGGCGGAGTTTAAGTCCCGCCTTACTGCTGTCGCTAGGTTGATCCAAAGTTAGGCTGAGACTGCAAATCTAATATGGATGCGGCCATTGATTTGGACTCATTTGCTGCCTACGTAACAGACGGGTCAGGGTTTGTCCAGTAATATTTACAGTCTATGGTCAAGACACACAGGAGATAAGAACTACAAAATAAAAGCTGTCAGTAATGGTGTTACATCTGCTGTGAAAAAGAGAGAGGCAGACAGGTAAGAGACAAGCGGCAACCTCCGGTGTTGAATAATGAAGCCAATGCAAAAGTGCAAAATTATTTTTGGGCATGTGTAAAATCTGCTTATGACTCTTGCACTCTTACTTTGACATTTTAACCCGTTTTCTTATTCGGAAACCTGTTTGGGAAATTATTTTGAAAATCCCATCAGGATGCAGTTTGCTGTGTGGTGACGTAATGACGTAGAGACGCTGACCTAACGGTGCTGCAGCTGCTGATGCTGAGGAGAGAGCATCCTCTGCAGCAGGTTTCCCCTCAGAGAGGCCCTGTGTTTTTATAGACGTGATGTTAGAAATAAGAGTAGTATTAACATCATATGAGAAATCATTACCGTGAGTTCAGACGGCTCCCGGTGATCTCCCGGTGATCTCCCGGTGACTCCCTGAGCTCCGCGATGGTGGATTTATTATCCGGGAGTGGTGCAGTGTCGCCCGGGCACGCCAGACAGGGACAGGGCTGCGGGAATAACGGGAAGAAAACGTCGAAAAAGTCACGAACGAGAAGAGGCAAACGAGGCCGAAGGAGAAGGAACAAAAAGAACAACCGGAACAACAAAACACCGCCACCGTATTTCCCACCGGAGGTAGCTTCCTTTAGCCCGGGGATTAACGGGACTACAACATGAACTAGCTTCAGGCTAATGACTGTAACACTTAGTTTTAGATACCACACTAATAAAAGATAAGTACACGAAGGGGAAATAGTGTTATATTGAGTTCGACTTTCAAAGCCCGCACCGCCACTGCCCCCGTTTCCTGCTCCAGTGAATACGTCACACCAAACCGCACTCAATACTTTCACAATTTAACACACTTCTGTCTAGATTCATATGATACAAACGCATTAGTTGTTAACAGAATACATTTTCTGCAAGAAGAAAGGCCGATAATTAATTCGGCATAAGAATCTACAAAAAGAAATGTATTGCCTTACCACTTTAGCTTCCATCTTTCACGATCTTTCTTAAACGGTGTACTGCGCTGATGTGGAAGAGAACTGGAATAAAAGTGGAAATAATCGCCGAAAATGATCCAAAATGTATTTTAAATGTATGCCGAATTGAAAAATGTATCCTAAGGACTCATGATAATGCAAAAATATTTACCATTGTGTTACGTTTCCTTTATCAAATTTTACTTTAAATTGCAGGAATAGTTGATGAAGTTCGGTCGATGTCCTCTCGGTTGAAATGGGCGGGACATGTGGAGCTGGTTCGCTAGTAGAGTTAGCTAAAACTTAAACTCTGTCTTACCACAATCTTATCTTAAATTATGTCTTTCAAATTTGAAGAAAATAACACATTAACTTACCCCAATGCAATATCTGTTTACCTTATTGAGGCTACATTTTCCTTCTGTGACTTTTAGTGACAAACTTGGGTCAGCGTTTATGCGTGCGACTCTTGGCAGTGCAATAAGAGCGAGAGTGCTGCCAGATCTCGCGAGATAAACAAGCAACCAGCTCGATGGAAACAAGCCCAAAACACCTGGCTCCTCAAATAAATAAAATGAAGCCAAACAGGTTACCTAACCTACCACATAGTTTAAAAGAGAGGTCACTATGTGTGTGTGTGTGTGTGTGTCTGATGTGTGTGTGTGTGTGTGTGTGTGTGTGTGTGTTTGTCTTGTCTCATTTTGATGTGAAACAGTGAAATCGATGTCCGTAAGCCTCATGGATGTTTTTTGTGGTTTTCGGTGCCAGCATCATCAACATGCTATATTAAGGTGGGATCCAGTGTCTTTCTCTCTCTTTCTCCCACCCTTTATTTTATTTTTTTCCATATCCCCCCCCCCCCCCCCTTATTCCTGGGCGTTTCAGATCGGGCGGGCGGGCTAACCAAGGAAACAGGGTAATGGACAAACTATTGCGACCGTGTTTCACTTTATTGTGGAGAGTTGGAGATAATCAGTAGGGGTTCATAGGGGAGCAAAGCAAGCCCAAACAAGCAACTGCACTTTAGAAAACAAGCCCAAAAACCCACAACCCGCGACTGACGATATTTGCAATCGACTTCACAGAAAAACAAGCCCAAAGTCGTTTATAACAAGCGGACCTGGCAACACTGATGGTGACCCCTTAGGGAGGTTTCCAAATTTTGAAAAATTTTAGCCAATGCTGTGGTCTAAAACAAGCTCCCAGGAAGTGCGCCAACCCTTGATGGCAATTTTACATGGTGGCCGAACCTGGTATTGCAGCGTGATGTGATGCCATTGGGCCCAAAAAGACTTTTGATGTTCCATTCAATCTCTTAAGTCGGAGTTTCCAGACTGATATGTCATCAGGAACATTACATACATTACATTCATACTATGGACCCCCCCCCCCCTCTTGAAATCTGATTGGCCACCCCAGGTGCCACACCAAAATCCACATGTATGATTGGCTATTTTGCCTAATCAGAGGCGGGACTTAAAATCAACCTATTTGACAGTTTTCAAAACAGGCTGCTGGTAGCTTTCTGTATGTGTAAATGAAATAACTTTCAGTTGTGAATAAAAACTTTGCATACGTCCATAAAAAAATGTCAAAGCAAAATCTTATGCACACGGTCTAACTTGCGATGGACTTATTTGCCAGTAAATGTATTTTTGCAACTTTGACAGCGTGCAAGAGTTTGCGTACAAAAACTACTTTAAATTCTGACTTTGCACAAACATCTAAATTTTATATGTTGCCAAGTTGTGTTACAGCTCATTAGTGGGGGTAGAAAGGGTAAAATAAACAAAATCATGTAAAACGTCATGCCACCAATCTATCTATCCATCCACCTACTTCAGCCTATGTCAGTGCCCTAGTTCGACCTCCCCAGTCAAAACAAGTCGGACACGTCCCTTCTTCATGCCTGTAGTCAAATAATGTCTCAGCATTATTTTCTGTGTGTTTGGTACAAAAGAAGACAAAAAAGGAAGGAAAGACACTGAATGATTTGCTAATTCTATTTTTGTCATTATTATAGGTGTCCTCATCTCTTTTCATTTTCTCTTTTTTCATTCCAGGCTGAAGAAGGAAACATCGAGTACAAGGTAACCAACGCTTCATTTCCTGCACTGCGAAAAAAATTGTGTGCGAAATTGTGTTTTTGTGTCCTTGGTTAGTGGAGAATAGTTCCGTCGTCTGTACAACACTGCTTCTTTTAAACATGTTCTTAAGCGTAAGTATACTCGTTTGAATGTTGTGAAAGGTTGACAGCAAATCCAGGATCACCTCGTATGTATGCCCTGCATCAAAATATTCTCTGATAGTAGAGACTGGCATATCGTTCCGGTTAAAAAAGAAGGACAGTGCGTTCGTCCAATCAGCGGCGGTCCTTGTTGACTGCAGGTACCTTTTCCGTTAGAAGTGAATGATGTTGTGTTTTCTTATTTCTTGTGTGTTTTGTGATTTGTCGTTGTGCTTTGCACTTAAGGGCCACCGTAGATAAGACTTTATTTTGTCTAAACCAGCAGGACTTTCTCACTCAGCATGCGTGTATTTGATCTTTTGAATGGAGGCCTGAGAATAATATCCATGTTGTCACACTGCAGTCAGAGGAAGCTAAACTAGCTAACAGCGTCTCTTGGGTTAACTGGTGCCAAAAAAAAAAAAAATGGTTCAAAACAACAACAACAGTTTTTTGGATACAGCTAAGTACAGCAGGTAGACACAGAGACTGAGACTTCCAAAATGTTTGATACTTCCGTACTCTTCGATACGACCCACAATGCGACCTCTGTTATTCTACCAAAACTACATCCATTTCATAAGACAGCTGTCTCTCATCCTCTACCCTCTCTCTCTCTCTCTCTCTCTCTCTCTCTCTCTCTCTCTCTGTTGTTGTCGTAGCTGAAGCTGGTTAATCCCACTCAGTATCGCTTCGAGCACCTGGCCACGCAGCTGAAGTGGCGTCTGCAGGAGGGCCGCGGCGAGGCCGTCTACCAGATCGGAGTGGAGGACAACGGCCTGCTGGTCGGTCTGACCGAGGCCGATATGAGGGCGTCGCTCAAGACCTTAAAGAGGATGGCGGAGAAGTAGGTCTCAAAAACTAACTTTATCTAAAATCAAATAAAAAACAAGCGCCCATTTCACATGCCCTGTACCCGCATCGTCCTCGCTCCGTGTCCAGGCAAAGTCGGAGGGCGAATATCCTCCGTTTGGTTCTCACAGTGAAGGAAAATAAATGATCTCAAATATAAAACATGCAGTAAAAAGCAACAGAGCAGTGTCAGTCAGCGGCCCTTTTTAAGAAGCTGTTGTTGAAACAACACGCACGTGCAGCGCGCATCCAAGCACAGCCAGCACTTTTACAACGCCAGGTGGACTCAGGACCTAACTTGTTTTATTCCTACAAAAACACACAGAAGTAAAAAAAATTGGTCAAACTAAAGTCTGAAAGATAAAATGTTAAACGTTACTAAACAGATGTATTGAACATGTTACCGTGTTATCTAAAAGAAGTTCCCATCTGTTTTTTTCTTCTGGTTCTCGTCAGAGTCGGAGCCGACATCACGCTCCTCCGAGAGAGAGAGGTGGACTACGACTCGGACAGAAACACGCGTAAGATCGCAGAGGTCCTGGTTCGGAAAGTTCCTGATGATCAGCAGGTGAGACGCTGGTTCAGCTCATTAAAGGGGAACTCTGTCATTGTAAACCAAAACCATTTTTTTTTTCTTTTAACAGTTCCTTGACCTGCGGGTGGCAGTTCTTGGCAACGTTGACTCAGGGAAGTCGACCCTGCTGGGCGTCCTGACGCAGGGCGAGCTGGATAACGGGCGAGGACGAGCGCGACTCAACCTCTTCAGACATCTACACGAGATTCAGACGGGACGAACCTCCAGCATCAGTTTCGAGATCCTCGGCTTCAACAGCAAAGGAGAGGTGAGAGCAGATGCAGTAGTGCTAAGAACTGCAGTTCCTCCAGTGTCCACTAGAGTCTGTCTCCTGCAGTGAGTCAGTCCCCATAGAGCCCCATGTTAAAATGGCTAACTTTACAGCTGCAGTTCCTCCAGTGTCCACTAGAGTTTGTCTCCTGCAGTGAGTCAGTCCTCATAGAGCCCCATGTTAAAATCAACATGTTTACAGCCTGAGTTTCTTTAACATGTTGCAGGTCGTGAACTACAGCGAGTCTCGGACAGCGGAGGAGATCTGTGAGAGCTCCTCTAAGATGATCACCTTCATCGACCTGGCCGGACACCACAAGTACCTGAAGACGACCATCTTTGGCCTCACCAGCTACTGCCCCGACTTCGCTATGCTAGTGGTGAGCGCCAACACGGGCATCGGTGAGCTGCAGACTTAAGTTATTCTTTTTAGGGCTTTACATCACCAACCAAATTAATTTAATACCACCCAGAAGCAATTCTCAAACTTTGGTTTGGAAGAAACCTCCTTGTATTTATGCAGCGCTAGAGGTCACTTCCATTAAAGGTCACATATTCTCCTCTTCTTCAGTTTAAATAAGTCTCAGAGCTCCTCAAAACATGTGTGTGAAGTTTCTTGTTCTAAATCCACTCTGATCCTGTATTTGATCATGTCTATAAACCCCTCTATTTCAGCCCTGCTCAGAACAGGCTGTTTCTGTGTCTGTACCTTTAAATATGTAAATGAGCTGTGTCTGACCACGCCCCCTCTCTGGAAGGGCTCGGGTGTACTCTGTGCTTTCTCGCTCTATGTCCTATTGTTTACGGTGAGAAGGCAGACTCAGAGGGCAGAACAAACACCTAGCTGTGGGAGTGTCACCCACCTGGGGGAGGGGCTACTGCCCTTTGTGATGTCATGAAGGCAAAATCTCCAAACGGCCTGTTTGAGCACACATTTTCTGAAAAGTGGAGCAGGCAGAAGACGGAGAGGATGGACTTTTCTCATCATTGGGAGGTTTGTAGACGGACTAGAGCAGGGGTGCCCAACCTTTTTTAAACCAAGATCTACTTTTAAAGTTGCCAGTCTGCCGAGATCTACCAGTCCACATAGTGAGCCGTAGCCTTTACCGACAGCCTCCAAATGCATTTAATACTCACAACAAACAGAAAATAATTTCAGATATAATAAATGAGAGTTCTGTAAAAAATAATGCAAATTTTTTAAACTCTTATTTTAGGATAGGCTACATTTTAATATTACGTTTGTATTTATATCACATATGTTTTTCCCTTAATTTAGTTTACAACAAACAACTTTAATCTGTGTGGAGATGTTCACAGACTACAGCAGGCTGCTGTGAGATGATTTTGCTTTTGTTAAATTAGCTGCAGACACGGTGAGAGTGAACGGAGTAAAGTCCAACCGACTGTTTGACCGGGTCACGTGTGTTCCCACCTCGGTCCGTACGGATCACGGATCAACTGTGTGCTGTAGCACTAAAAGTAAAAAGGTTTGCGTGGTGGCTGGCGCTCCAGTGCAAGTGTGTGTGTGTGTGTGTGTGTGTGTGTGTGTGTGTGTGTGTGTGTGTGTGTGTATGTGTGTGTATGTGTGCGCGTTTGTGCTGTATGTTGGTGTGTCTCATCCCCCGCGATGCTCACAGTCATGACAGCAGAGAGGAGCAGAGAAAAGTAGCTGCAGCTTCATCAAATGCGCTTAATACTCGTAGCATAGTTTCTATATATGACTTTTTGGTAAAACATTTAGCCCCCCGGTTTTACCTGCACGTCATTGCGCATGCCTGCACTCTCTCTCTCTCTCTCTCTCTCTCTCTCTCTCTATCTCCGCCGCTCGCTCTCTCATGCACCCAGCAATTTCATGAATAAATGAAAAATTAAATACAAACAGGTCGGAAGTATACTTGGGCTCCCCACACAGGTATCGTGTGTGGGAAACAGTGCAATGAGATGAAATTGAAATCACTTTTCTGTTTTACAATTGTATTTTATATTGACTAAACATCTCGATCGACTGAGAATCAGTCAGTGTTTGGGCACCCCTGGACTAGAGACACATATTAGAGTTAGAGAAACATGGTGAAGTGTGTTTTACAGAATATCTGATCTTTAAATACCTGCACTGGGTCGCAGCAGCTCTGCGTCAGTTCAATCGTTGCCTCATTTGAACGTTATTTCGCTCTACTAACATTAAAGGTGTTAGAAGTTACACCTTAAATCTTAATCCTGGTAGGTGTGAAGTCCTCTCTGAAATACAGTTGTCATGGCGATGGTTTTGAAAGGTGTGATAACTCGGAGGATGAGGAGAAGCGGAGGCTGTTTGGTGTCTTCAGTGTGTTCTCGATTACATCCCTCAGAAACGTGTGATGACTCTGATCTCATCCGCCAAATAACAGAGTGCTGTTAGGTTGTGATGTCTGTGCTGCAAGAAAGCCGAGAGTGTTTAATGTGTTGTAGCTGTGTATGGGTCTGTAGCTTGGAGGAGGTGATGCAGCATTTTGTTCTTAATATTTTTAAGAGTATAGAACAACTTAGAGGCTGTCGGTGGTGAAAAAATGAAAAAACAGCTTCTTATATTCACCACTAGAGGTCAGCAGTGATCTGTGTTTAAGACCTGTGCAGACACTAAGAGTGGCTTCTTTATATATGATCAGTGTCTGCAACTTAGTACCAGTCAGACTGCTGTTTGTTTTCTAGATAAACTGCTGGATCAGATGGTCTGAATTTTGTATGAAAATGGTAAAAAAAAAAGATGTCCTTATCATCATATCAAAGTCTGACAAACTGATTTTAAATTATTTGTTTTTGAAGCAACAGCAGCGAGAAGGTGCCCAGCCGACCTCACTCTCTGCACCTCCCTCTAAAAAAAAAACTGCCTAAGAAGAAGAAAATAACAAGAAAGCCGTAAAATTACACCACCGGGTTTCTCCAGCCCAAACTAAAAATAACAAAACAAAAGAATCTAGACATGCATGAGTATGGAAGCAAATATGTGATTAAGAGAAAACAGGAGAGCAGAGTTAAATACTGTTCCCTCTCCTCCCTCCAAGACACTCTTCACATCGGCTTCCGCCCGTCCTTTTTTCTGAATTTCGGCACAGGGCTGGTCGATAAACTGTTCGGCTAGTTTGCAAAATGAAGCCAATGCGTTAGTGTAAAAATCCTGCAGTTCCTCGAGTGTCCACTAGAGGCTGGCTGCAGAAGCACAGGAAGTCACATACACACCCATTCTAAAAAGCCTGTTTTTACAGCAGAGATGAACATGTTTACAGCCTGGTTCAAAAAAACAAATAGGTGTGATTAGCTCATGTCTGGATGGACACACACTGTACGGGGGGTGAATGTTTTGATGACTCATCAGTTTTGATTTGATGAAGGATAAGAGTTATTCACAATAAGGCGTGTAGCTGACCTGATTGACAGGTGGGCGCGGTGTAACGGTTTGTCAGGAGGTTTAAAACCCGCCTCAGCTCCAGCTCTCAGCCTGTCGTTAGGTTGACTGAAGTTAGACTGAGACAGCATTTCCAGCATGGAGACCGCCATGGATGGGACTCCAGCGCCCCCTGCAGGAACAGACGGATGACGTCACTCAGGCTTCAAATATTCATATTTACAGTCTGTGGTTTTGAGTGGCCATCGGCTTGTTTTTGTCACAAAGACCTGGCAACCCTGCACCAATATCACACAATAACACTAACAAGCTAATCGATTGAGAAAGACCTCCTCTGTGTTCTGCACGGCAGGATTAGTGTTTTTGTCAATGGAGGCTGGCGGATTATGAAGAGAGTGAGGTAACAGCTGTTTCTAGTTTAAAAAAAAAAGGCAAAATGGTAAAAGGTATCTACCAACCTGAGTCAGTCAGAAGAGAACCATTTTCATTGATTTTGCAGCTGTTTCAGCTTTTGTCGTTTTTTTGCTGCAGAATGAAGCAACCTCCCAACAATATCTCACCTTTGAAAGCACTGACATTGTTCCCTGGTGCCTGCCCAATGGTTTCTGGGTAATTAAGTCTTTTATCTTGATGTCAGCACGCTCACAGTGTTCCTGCTCTCCTCCGTCCAGCCGGTACGACCCGGGAGCACCTGGGCCTGGCCATGGCGCTGAAGGTTCCCATCTTCATCGTGGTCAGTAAAGTGGACCTGTGCTCGCGCGGCACCGTGGACAGAACGGTCCGTCAGCTGGAGCGGGTCCTGAAGCAACCGGGCTGCAACAAGGTTCCCATGGTGATATCGAACCCCGATGATGCTGTGACGGCAGCGCAGCAGTTTACCCAGTCAGCATGGTACGTACAAAAATTTAAATACCTACCACTGCTACTCCACTAAGAGGGATCCTGAGAGACTGGGAATGTTGGGAGGAGAGACAATGGGATGACATGCAGCAAAGGGTCAAGGTTGGAGTTGAACCCATGGTGACCATAGCCTCTGTACAAGGGGCATGCGCCATAACCTCAAGACCATCCCGTATCCCAGGATTACGATTTCAAGCACAAAATATTCAACCTAAAGACCTAAAGAGAGAGAGACCTGTTCATGTTAGTTTTCTGTGTGTGTGTGTGTGTGTGTGTGTGTGTGTGTGTGTGTGTGTGTGTGTGTGTGTGTGTGTGTGTGTGTGTGTGTGTGTGTGTGTGCGTGTGTCACAGCATCACACCCATCTTCACCCTGTCCAGTGTGTCTGGAGAGAGTCTGGACCTGTTGAAGGTTTTCCTGAACATCCTTCCTCCTCTGAGCAACAGCAAGGAGCAGGAGGAGCTGATGCAGCAGCTCACCGAGTTCCAGGTACACACACACACACACACACACACACACACACACACACACACACACACACACACACACACACACACACACACACACACAAAAGCATACGCACACACCATCTGCTAAAAAGTATTCTTAACCACAGTGATGTCACCTAAATGTACAGAAATTGTCGCCAACTTTCCTCTTCACATAAATCTTTACGTCCTGGAACTCACATTTCCAATTTTTCTGACACCACATGAACACACCGTTTCTTTTATAATCTGACATACATCCACAAGTTTTTAATTCTGTGTGTGTGTGTGTGTGTGTGTGTGTGTGTGTGTGTGTGTGTGTGTTTGCAGGTCGATGAGATCTACTCTGTTCCCGATGTGGGGACCGTGGTGGGGGGAACTCTGTACAGGTGAGAACAATACAAAGATCACACTCGTGTTTGGGACGGAGACAGTCTGATGTTTTTAAGGCGAGTCATCAGACATTTGAAACGTTTTAAGAGGAAAACAGATGTTTAGATTTTAAAATACTAAGATGACGCTTTTTGGCTGGAACAAAACCAGGAAATTGTATTTTTTTCATTTCATGGAGACTTTAAGTTACTGCCAATTTACACAAAGTATTCAGCGCTGCTCTGTCTGATGGCGCCCACTGGCTCCGTTTCTGGAGCACGAGTGCAGCTGAGCGCAGCCATGATGAACTTAACTTAACTTAACTAGACGCAATCTCATTAGAACTACAAGATCAAGCGGGAATGAAGAGAAAAACATGCATGTGACGTAATGTTGATAAATTGATGATTTGAAATTGAAAAAAAAATTGAGAATCGGTATTATTGTGTTTTCTTTTTAAATTGATGGCCGCTCTTTGGTTTCCTTGTCTGACTTCCTGTCCGGGTCGTTCTATTCTGTCCAGCTTGCTTGCGGCGTGCTCTGTCGAAAATGGAGCTGCAGCGTGTTTGAAACCAAGCAGAGCGTAGCTCAGGAGACAAACCGCCGCTTGCTTTGGAAACAGGAGCATTGACTAGAGTGCGGCACAGAAATGTGCGTATGTGGAAATTGGCGGTTAGTGTGGCTGTAAGCGCTGTTGTTAGCAATCGGGCTAACTGTCAGAAAAGGAGACAATAAATGCATGATGCACTTTGTGTGTTTTTTGAGTCGTTTGCACGGGTTTAGCCGGCGCCAAAGCCACAGAATCCTCTTGTAAATCCCGCCCTGAGTGTGTGCATTATTCAACCTGTGTGTGTGTGTGTGTGTGTGTGTGTGTGTGTGTGTTTCAGTGGAGTGTGTCGGGAGGGCGAGCGGCTGGTGGTCGGTCCCACAGACGAGGGTCGATTCCTGCGTCTGAAGGTGGGCAGCATCCAGAGGAACCGCTCAGCCTGCAGGGTGCTGAGGGCGGGACAGGCCGCCACGCTCGCTCTGGGAAACTTTGACCGCTCGCTGCTGCGCAAGGTTAGAGATCACATGACCTTAAGTCTCCACCCTCCTGTTTTAGCATCACTGGAGGAAGGGGTGAACAGAGAGAGAGAACGCACGAGCTGCTGCGTCAGTAAGCTAGTTTGTTTGTTTTATGTAGTTACACGTTTGTAACGGTCGGTTCTGGTCTGGAGCCGCTGGATCTCCTCTCCTCCCCCTCCCCCCCACCGTGCAGCTTTTAAGGCAGAAAAAAGCATTGCCGCTGATGTCGGCGCGATGGTCGCCGCGTGGTGACAGTGAT